GATACCATTAACCATTCCATCCTTTTCTCCAAATTGAAATCGTTATCCTTTTCCAACAGCTCTATCCTTTGGTTTCAATCATTCCTCTCTCAACGTACCCAAGCAGTCTCTATCCCGAACCAACCTTTATCATCCTATCTAACTCTGTCCTCAGGAGTGGCACAGGGCTCCAGCATATCTCCTCTCCTTTTTAGTTCATATATTAACGACCTTCATAAATCAATCCTTCACTGTTCACATCACCTTTATGCCGATGATTCCCAAATTTACCTCTCCTTCGCTCCCTCTGAATGGCATGATGCGTTTGCCAAAATACAAGAAGACCTAAATCGGATTTGTGCCTGGGCAAGTGAAAATGGATTAAGGTTAAACGTTGCTAAAACCCAAGCCATTGTCCTCGGTTCCAAACCCCTTCTCAGATCAAATACCAACATTCCTCTCCTGTACCTGAATGACCAACCCATCACCTTCAACACTTCAGTTAAAAACTTAGGTGTTATCATAGATCAAACCCTCTCCTGGAATCACCATATTTCCCTCATATCCCGACGTTCAATTTCCATCCTGAAACTCTTCCATCGCTTCCGCCATCTCCTACCCATATCCACACGTAGACTCCTAGTATCCGCCCTCATCTTCCCCCACATTGACTACGGCTGTGTAGTGTACGGTGGCCTCTCATCGGAACTTGGAGTCAGACTGAAAAGAATAATGAATGGCTTAGTACGATTTGTCAATGGGACCCCGAGACGTTCTCATGTTTCCCACTACTACGCCGAGTCAGGGTGGCTCTTCCCCTCCTTCAGAAGACAGTACTTCCTAGGTACATTCCTTTACCAAATAATCTATAATCATCGTCCGTCCTACGCATTCAATCTCCTTCAATTCAAGTCATCTATCCACTCCCTCTCCACAAGATCTCGTCCTTCCGACCTTTATACCCCTTTCCACAAATCGGCCTCATTTCAACACTCCTTTATTGTCCGATCCACCACATTTTGGAATTCCATCCCACTTAAAATCCGCCATGCACCATCCTTATCCACATTTAAAACCCTCCTTTTCCAATTCCTCCTTACAATTCAATCAGACGCTGGGTAGCCTATATTGTATTATTATACTATTGTTGCATTGTATGTATGTATATGTGTATGTATGTATATGTATATATATATTAATATATGTATATTGTATATATACTATTGTACTATTATTGTATTCTCACTATTATTGTATTATTGGGTGTATATATTGTGTATGTACGATTACACTATTATTGTATTTCGATTATACTATTATGTTCTACGAACATACTACTATTACTATAACATCTTTATTATTATCTGTCGCTCATTTATAATTTCATAGCGTATTGTGTATAGCAACTATTTTGCAGTATTAGGACATTATTTCTCATATTATGGCTTCCGATATCTGTACAGTTATGTAAACACTTCTTTTATCCCTTATTTTTTAGTTGTTTTTTTTGTTTGTTTGTTTGTTTTTGTTTATTGTAATATACATTTTGGCCAGATGTAATGTTTAATTTTATGTACAATATTGTTATTCTCAAGGGACGTAGTCCCAGAATAAAGTTGATTCTTCTATCTATCTATCTATGTTGGTTATATTACAGCATTTAATTTTACTATATTTTAATTTTGTTCAAAATGTCTGAATAATGTGTTCCCAAATGTTTTGTATCGGTTTTGTAGTTAATTGTTATCCTATTATTTTTTGTGATGAGGATGGCTTCAAGTAATTTTCTGTTGTTATTTTTTGAAGAATAAAAGTTATAGTGCATCAAATTTCGCGTCCACTGACAAACTAAAAGTTTTAATATTGATCAATTAGATTTCTCGAATCGGGATTCATTATTTCCTCATGAAATTTGTTTGTTTTTTTTTATACCTCATGAGCCTATTTTTTACATCTCTGAACCCTTATATACAAGTTAAAAAATAAAAAAGTTTTCCCAAATTTTACGCAATGAATTTTCCGTTTCGATCCTCAACCTCAAGTTACTTGTCTAATATTATTTACATCAGTAAGTAATAATTTATGCAGGTAGCAAGGTCCGACTGGCAGACTCATTTTCTCACAGACTCTGGAAATAAAATAAATTTTCCACTACTCTCTAAGCGTAAAATATTAAATTATACCGAATTTCTCGACCATCAATTTATAGTTCTCTTCTCCAATATCATAGTGTTTTTCTTTTCCTTTTCCGATATATTGGTGATTTGTCCTGAAAATAGTATAGTCTAGAATAAAAATTTTAGATTATCTATATCGATACATGTTTTAAGCGAATCAAGTTCAGTACTGTGTTTTTTCAATCGACTGGCATTCCACAAGAAGATTTACAGGGAGACAACTGTACATAGTTATGGTACATAATTGATACACAAGGCGTAACATGACACCACTGTTGAAAAATACTGAAATGTTCTTTTATCCCCTTCCTCGCTGTTTAGGCTATACGAGATTTTTTTTTTCTCGGGCCAGGAATGTGAGTGGGTGATTAATGTCAGAGTTCAAACCCTCCTGGCATCGGGAATTTACTCTTAAACTTAGGTTTATCACAGGTTGCTCTGGGCAAAGCGTTTTGCACCCGCGTTAGCCCACTTGCCTATCCGGCTGGGCAATGTTTCTCCTCATGCCTGTACATGTTGGCTGATGCTGTGGTGCTGTACTACATGTCTTTATATATCAATCCGAGAATTTACAGAAAAAAAAAATATAGTATTCGTTGTTTTATATACAGTTATGTATACGTATATACAATTATCTACATAGAGATTTAGATTAATATATATTTAGAGCAATATAATAACGTGTATATCATACAAATTATTTTTTCTGTGAATTCTCGGAATTGACATATAAACTTATTATTGATCTAACTTTGAACCGTTGAAGATAAACTATCAAAATAATATATATTCTTGAAGAAAATTTAATTTTTAAAAACCTACTTCTTTCCAGATAGAAAGCGAGATATTCACACTTAAAGATTTTCAGTTTTATGTATTATTTATTTACTTTATATTAAGTAAATAAAACTTACTTATTTGTTCCAACTACTTCATTAATTAAACGCAAACATTAAATTCATATTAAATGTTGTACAAAGTTATTTCCTTGAGCATTAAGACAGGCTCGTCATCATTCTTCAACAGCAGCAGAGGCAGAAGGACATTGGATATGTGTTATTGTTTTCTAGATTCATTTATCCTTCTTCGTAAGGAATTAAGGTCATTGAGCGGACTTACATAGACTTTTTGTTTAATGTCATCCCAACCAAACAAATCCAGTGGTGTCAGGTTTCAGGAGAGCTTACAGGCCAAGTAACTGATCCTGTACAGCCAATCCAGATAATTGATCCTGTACATTGGGATAATTGACATTTAGCCATTGCCGTGGACCTCTTCCGTAATGTACAGGACAACCATAATTGAAGCCACATGCCCCTTCTCAGTTGAAATGGAATATGTTCAATTAAATCATAATGATCATTATTAAGAAATTCCAGTAATGTGCCCTCATTGAGTCGATGCGGCAAGAAATGCCGATCATTAAAATATTGTCTATTATCCCCAACCACACATTGCATCGAAACTGGTGAAGAAAGTGATGCTCACGAATTGCATGGAGATTTTCCTGCAACCAGAGATGATTATTTTTCTGATTGAAGATACCTCTTCTCGTATAGGTAGCTTCATCTGTCTAGAGAATTTTTCCTAAAAATTATGGATTATGCTCAACTTGATTAAATCTGAATTTAATGTTTACATTTAATTAATAAAGAAGTTAGAACAAATAAATAGGTTTTATTTATTACATGTAACGTAAATAATTCATAACAACAAAAATCTTGAGAGGAAATTTTTTTCTTGTTTTGAGGTCCTTGGTTCAATTTTGCAGTTTGGCACTTAACACCTGAAACACCCTGTATATGACTTGACCTAATAATCAAAGCTCTGATCTGATTTTACTAAAAGAACGATATTATTCAGCATAAAACAGTTGTGAGACTTCGAATGGAGCATGGGTACGAGGATATGTTACTGATTAGCGGCAACTTGGACAAGTCCATGAACTCAACACTAATCCATTAATGAATTTCCGATACTCAACAATGTTCTCAAAGCTGAGTTTATTAACTTGTTCTCTGTTACATCGACGCATTTTGGTGCGGAACTATCTGATGAATTTAAAATTTATGATGATCTTAAAGCTGAGTTTAAGGAACTTGCCATAGCTGTAGTTTTGCTGCAGATCACTTCCTGACTGAAGGTGTGCTTCCATTAGGAAGAGAATGTGCAAATTAATTGGAGTCAATAGCAATATCCCATATATCCAATATATACATCCCATCAATGTTACTTAATTCTTAATTGATTAATATGGACTATCTTTTTTTGTCAGTTTAACAATTTACTATTGATTTTTTGTATGATACACCATTTTTTATAAAATTTGTTTTTTAAATAATCGAAAATGATAGACAAACAAATTCAACCTCCAATTAGCACCACTATGTGCCTCAACATCCTAATGTTATGAAATTTGAAGCAATTTTTATTGAAAAGGAAAATTCTATCAATTTTATTCCTTTAAAATATCAGTAATAATTGACAATGTTATAAAAAACAAATGCACTTATATTAGTTTTTGAAATACTTTAATTATCAATTGAATGATGTTTGCAATAAACTTCATAGTTGTATTCACAAGAAAATCCAAAATAAATCAGTGTTCCACTGTTTCACTGTTACTCCACCTACAAATGAAAGATTGCTTGACAATAGGCTCATCATTTCTCAAGTTATTTATACAACTATTTCATATAGCTAGAACAAACTTATTTTTTCTCAACATTATGGTTTTTATAGCAAAATATTAACAATTTAAAAAACATGTTTATGGAGTTGTATAATATGGTTTCATAATAATAAATGAAAATCTTCTTGCACTTCTAAATATTTTTTCACTAGGTAGCACTATTGAGCCCAATTCTTCAAGATGATGACCAAGAGCAATTGAAATACATTTGTGGAGGAGCACTTATCCATAAAAAAGTAGTTTTAACCACAGCTCATTGCACCACGAAGTAAGATGTTAATTTTAACTAATACTAATTGGAATTATAACAATTTTCAAATAATATATGAACTTTGATAAGGGGACATATTTAATATATAACATACTTGAATATATAATCTTTCTAATTCTTAATAATTACCTTATTTAAATATTAAAAAATGACTTATTTTAAAGTAAAGAATTCAAATTCATTTACATATATATTTTGAAGAATTTCATTACAAACAGAAACTGTTAGCTGATGTAAAAAGTCAGCTGATGTTTATAAATAACAAAATTAGAATTAAATTAAATTTATAAAATAAGTTATAACTGTTGATTAACATTTTTTTTTATTTTTTTTTTATAGGAAAAATAATGATTCTTACATGATAGCTAGAGCAGGTGAATGGGACACTCAAAGAATAAATGAAATTTTTTCTTATCAGGACAGGATGGTTGATCAAATCATAATTCATCCAGAATTTAATGGTGGAAATTTATGGAACGACTTTGCTTTGTTAGTGGTTGATAAACCATATGAATTTGCACCAAATGTAGACATACTCTGCTTACCTCCTCCAAGATTTGTGTCACTCAGCAGAGAGTGTTATGCCACTGGATGGGGAAATAAGCAATTTGGTAGCTATTCGATCAAATTATATACTTTCACTTACTAATATATGAAATATATATTAACGAGAAGTATTGCGATCATTTTTTAATCTGTTTTCTTTGAATCTCAGTTTCAACGGAAATACACGTTTTGAAGTACCCTGAGTCCAAATAACCAAGTTCCATAAAATGATCTCTGAGCGTTTTTTTTTTTTCCTACGAGGGTAGGTAGAAATTTTCAAAAAGACACGAATAAGACAATACCTATATGCGTGTGGGATTTGTACCAACTAAAACCATCTCCCTACACCTGTTTCCCACTCTCCACGGGACTACTGTTAGGCATTACTTCCTGGAGAGGAGAGTGGCTATTTGCTACCTCTGGCTACCTCCTGGTTGGCCTTTCCTTCTCCTCACTCCTCAGTCTCTTGATGTCCAGTAAAGAGCTGAGTACGATAGTGGTCCATCTCTCCGTGCTTCCTGTCTATCCAGGATTTGATACAAGGAATCAGTCTGTGTGTACATCTTCCAATGCTATATTCCAGCGTCGTTGCCTTTTCTCAGTCGCCTCCTTTCTTTCTTCGACACTGGGAATACGATCGACTTTATTGTAACAGCATATTCTCTCTTTTGCACATTAGTTCTATTGGCGCTTTGACACCATTGTCTTCTATAAGGTGTAGTATCGAGGGCTCCTTTCCATAAAGCAACTGCGTAGAGTAGTATAGATGTAACCACGCTTGATACCAGTGACCTGCGGCTGCGCCTGGGTCCTTCAACATTTGGTATTAGTCGGGACAGAGCTCAGGTCACTCCAGACGCCTTTTCAATCACTCGCTGGATATACACCTTGAACCTGAGCCTTTCATCAATTCTTACCCCGAGGTATCTCAAGAATGGCTTAGACCTTATCTCTTGTCCCTCCACAGTCAGCGTGATCTCCTCTCTCTTTTTTTCTACTACTGATCAGGAGACCTTCTGACTTGTGACCGCGAGCTGCAGTTCCACGGATTCCAACCACTTGCGGATTAGTTCAATACTCTGGTTACGTCTTAGGATCACCTCTTCTTTGTACTTGGCCTCGACCACAACTGCTAAGTCAGCAAAATCCACTGTTTTGGCCGTGCCTGGAAGGTTAAGTCTGAGGATACCATAAAGGTGTGTGTATGTATGTGCGTGAACAGTCTAGCTCAAAAACGAAAAGTCTTACGAAACTGAAAATGCGTATTTAAGTCAAGTATAGGCCTGGGATGTTACAGCAACTCTTTAATTTAATTTAAGTTTGCCACAAACTTTCTTAACTAACTAGTATTCTAATTGAAAATACAAATGTATATAAATAAAAAATGAACAAAACTGTTTATAATCATTCTGAATTGATTTTATCATTTGTTTTCCCATATTAAAACTGGACACTTGCAAAGTGGTATCATAAATTATTTTATTTTTTCAATTGTACGTCATCTTTCGGCACTTTGATTTGCATTTAGATGGCTCAACCAATGTGTGGGGTAGGGTTCCTGTCGTTTTCACTTTTGGATTAACATAAATAGAGAGAAATGTTATATTGAAAGTAGTGCTACCCTACTACATAGGGCTGCTTTTTAAACAGCATATTGATCAATTCATATGGACATTGCTCTAACATCATATTATTCCATTATTATATAAACATATATTTTGTTTCCCTTTTCACAACACTAATCATATACCAAATCACTAATATACTACATTAAACAATTACCATTATATAATGCATATATTTTATGAAAAAAAAAGAAAGTAATCGAATGCTATAAATAAAAGACTAAATTGCATGTATATATCAATGCAATTCCTTGAATATAGATAAAAAGATAAGGCAAAGCTAAAAAATTAAAATTAAAGAACTAAATAGATAAATGACAAAGGACATCCTAAATTCACAGTCAATTGCTATTCAAGTGGTAGTGGATGGTCCCCAGAGAGTCCAGAATAATATTCTGGGCCAATATCGTAAGCTCCCCAACATCAACACCTAGTACCTTGAAGAAGCTCCTTGTTCTTTTTGGGATCGTTCCATAAGACCTAAACCAGAGGCCTCTCATGGTGAACTCTCTCTCCGAAGATCTCACGGAACTTCTCTTTTAGGAAAGGGATACATTTATCGTATTTGTTTTTCTTTTCCCTTTCCACTTCACCCGCTTGATCTAGGTCATTGCTCTCAAAGCAGACAGTTGGATCCAACATCACAGCTGTCTTCCCTGTCCTGAGAAATGCAACAAAGTCCGCATATCTGGTTGAGCCCTCTCTGTCGATGCAATTGACCTCCTCGAAGCAGGTGAATTCGTTTTCTCTAAGGAGCCTCACCAATTCAAACTTGCTTCTATGGTACCGGCGTGTTATGAGGAGGGAGTTGTAGGGGCATTTTCCCAGCACGTGGGCTTGTGTTTCAGACTCTTTGCCACCCTTACAACAGAGGGACTCAATTTCCTTCGACTGTCCACTGGCTCCTGTGACTCCACGCAAAGGTGCGTAATTGATGTTGAGTTTTAAGGCGTTGGACCATTCTGATCCCGAAAGCACTTGCTTTTGCTTATGCATTTATTAGCTTTCGGGGTTTCTTTAAAATTCCAAACTCCAACGCCTTGCCACATGCAGCTGGCCAATTCTTCAAAAGAATTTTCTCTTAGCGACTGTCGTAGTGCTTACTCCCATTTCGGTGGCCCTGATCCATTCCAAGTCATTCTGCACACTTTGTGATTTCCGCATTACAATCAAATGTATACTGGAACAGGGCATTTGGTACACTAGACAATTGCTGGGCAATGTACCAATGCCCGTTTTTTCATACCTTTATGACTGGAAGTGTTTTTGCATATGGATTTAAATACCTCAAAAACTAAAAATCGGACCTGCATATTGTTAACAAGGAAAATGTTCATCGACTTTGTAATGAGCTATTATTCAAAATTGTATCTTAACGCAATATCGTATTTCAGAGGCCAAAAGAGAAAAAATAGTGTCGAAAACCAAATGGTAATGAGTTTTAGGGAAGATATGGATTAAATATCTCAGAAACTAAAAATCGGACCTCCACACTGTAGGCAAGAGAATTTTTCAGCATTTCATCCTCTATATAATGAGTTCTTATTTATAATTTATATTTCGTTTAATTCATGTTTCACTTCTATTGTGTGGTCTAAAGCACACACCCATGATTTTTTTTTAAATCACACCGAGATTTTCTTTCAACATGCTAACAATTAAAAGCTGCTAACAATGCTATAATTATTTCTTTAGTGTTTTGATATTAAGTTGTTAATTTCTATATTTTTATTGGTCAGCATGCGTCTGTATAGATGTATTATATAAAACTAAATATTAAAAAAGTAGTTTAATCAACACAATTACTGGATGATCACACACAAATTTTATGTCAGTTAAATTAGCTTTGCTCCTGTTTGACAAGCAAAAAAGGGGAATGGTTAATCAACATCACATTAATTACTTTTTAAACTTTATCTATAAAAAAAAAAACTTTAACATCTGATTTGCTGTATTCCACCACGGGATCACATCCTTCCTCCCAGCTTGATGGTAGGTATTGGTGGTACATCTTTCCCCCTTCCCAAGAAATTGTATTATTATCCTCTAAGGTACTCAAGATAATTCCCATACTGTACGTAGCAGAACTAGAAATTTATTTATTTATTTGGAATAAAATAGTAATGTTGATAAAATGTTTCCAATATTCTAATATTATTGTTACGATACAGGTCAAAAAGATGAATATCAAGTAATTCTCAAGAAAATTGATCTGCCAATGGTACCTAATGATCAATGTGTCACTCTCCTCCGCCAAACAAGGCTAGGTCAACACTTTGGATTGCATGAAAGCTTCGTTTGTGCTGGAGGAATAGTTGGAAAAGATACTTGTACGGTAATAAAAAACTTCGAACTATATATTTTCCTTTTATTTCTTCAACTTATTTTTTATTATACCAGAAAAAAAGAAATCATATTTTTTATTCTATTATAGGATCTAACTGCCCTTTCTTAAAACATGCGAAGTTTATATGTACATTTTCTATGGTCAAACCTTTGCCAAAAATAGTGTTGCCATAATCCACTTTCCAAACACATATAATAATAGTGGATGGTCCACAACAATTCTGATAGTTCTAATTCTGCTATTATTAAAGAAACATTACATTTCTTCTGGATTAATGACTTCATCGTGGATAAAAACTATAATTAATGAAAAATCATCATCCATATGTGCTTGTATACCATATCACTTTCTATAACATTATATTTTTTATTTTCTAGGGAGATGGAGGAAGTCCTCTAGTTTGCCCAGTTGAAGGCAATCCAGGAACATATCAAGCAATTGGTTTAGTTGCTTGGGGAATCGGTTGCGGAGGTGTAACTCCAGGAGTATATGCTGGTGTAGCATATGCTCGCCCTTGGATTGATATGAACATGAGAGAACTTGGTCTCTCTATATAAAAAAAATGATAAAAGTTTAATGACATGATAAGGAAATGATGATAAAAAAAATGAGAAGTGATCAAAGGTATATTTTATTAGTGGTATTAAATATTTATATGATTGACATAGGTCATAAATCAAGGAATGAAACATGGTAAGTAGGCAGCAGGAGTCAAAATGGAACAGCTATGAGTTACCATTTTTTAATAATGGAGTTAGTTAGTTGTACATTTTATTTTTAAATGTCACAGAGACAAGTGATTACATTTCTTCTTTTTTCACCTGAGTTCTAAGTTTGCATAGAAAATTTTCTGTGAAAAGAGTTGAACATGAGTAAAAATTTATTAATTCACAACTAGTGAGTGTTTCTTTTGAGTTGGTGATAGACCAGTAGTGGACACTGGCAAATCCATGGGAGAAAAAAAGGAAAAGTTCTCCCAGAGTACCAATTGGAAAAAAAAAAAAAACCAACTAGCGTTGGTCAAACTAATGTTCATGAAAGTCTAAGGGCAAAAATCCTTCAAAAGTCTCCCCCTATTTACACTCCTCATTTAGAATATTTATTCCTAGAAACTTCCTTAATTTCATTTTCCAGTCTCTATGTCATTACATTCCGCCCTCCTCGAGTCTATTTGATCCTGCTTCACAATCCTCTCTTTTTATCCATGTTTCTTTATTAAAAAATGTAATAATAGTCGACAACTTTAATATCAATTCTATCCTCCAACTCCTTCTGATAAATCATGCATTTTAGAAATAATCCAATCTCTTGACCTTCATATCATTTATTTTTAACCCATTCACCATAACACTTTCTTAAGTATGTGACTTGACCATTTTATAATAGATTCCTCTTAAAACTCATCATCTTTCTCTCAGATTCCTGTATTCTTTTTTTCCTATCAAGATATCTTATAACGTCCCAACTCCTAAAGACTCATTGACTTCTAAAAAACTAAATCCTTTTCTCGAATCACTGTCCCATAACTTAAGGAAAACAACTAGAAAACTGCCACTATTATTGAGCTAACAAAAGAAACAAGAAGAGCAAATTAACATAGAAAATGAAGTCCATTCAGGAGTATTCGAATAGGGGAAAAAGAAAGGACCTGTGTACAGTATTAAAAGTGTATTTTTGTTTTGAATTCAATTAACCTTAAAGATGAGTGATTAGACGCTTACCAAACCTGGGGGAGTGAGGAGAACATGAAGAGAATAAATCAGAAAAATTAAAGAACAACACAATTTATACCATCATTTATCAGCATAGCGAAAGAAATTCTAAATGCATCCAGACTTTCTGCCCAATTTTTCGGTATATCATAAAATTAAAAATTTTCTTTCTTATTATTTCATAGTCAAAATTTTATTAATACATCACTATCAATGGATCCTGATTTCTACAATTACTATTACTTATTTAATTGTCAATATTTGTTAATTATTGGGACTAATCTGTCATATATAAGTAACCAATTAATAGCCAAGTTATTTTAATAATTCAGTATTTTTATTTCATAAACAATATTCTTACCCAATCCTTGACTCTATATCCTAATCTCTACTATCATGAGGAATATACCAGGTAAATCTTTCCCCAATCCTGCCTTGGTATCATTACTTGAACACTTTTTATGCTGAGAACATGGTCAGTAATGTTAGTTGTAACATTTTTTAAATATATTTTATAACTTATCACTTCATTCAAGTCTAACCTTATCGATTCTGTATTTCAATTGTGTTGTGAGAGGAGGTTGTATAAATATATATACAAACAAATAAATGATACAAGAAAATTTAATAATAATCACATAACAGAATAACAAACAGATAAGTTCTTTACAGATAAATGAAACTATAATACAAACATATGTACAATGGGCAACGATTGATGATATTGTGTATTTAATGATTATGATACACTACTTGGCCATGAATTAACATAAGCAATTAAAAAAATCTCCAAAAATTGTTTGAGTTATGATTAACTCAACCCGTATCACTCATGATACGGTATTTCCATTTTGAGTTTATTTTCGTATTTCAGATGCTAAACCCATGAATCTATTGACACAGTGTTTAAATTTTCTTTAATGATATGAGCCTGTTCTAACAATGTATGTATAAAACAGTGAAGAATAGGCTTCATGTAGCCCCAGGGCATTTATGCTAGAAAGAAAAAAGAAAAAAAGCTAAAGATACTTACAGCTATATTTACATTAAAATTGATAAACATTTTCTATAGGTCTCACAGGACTCTGTTTCAAGAAACTTTTCTATCAGTTAGAAATAATTCTCTGTGAATTATCTATTTTAAACAAGTACTTATCGACTGAAATATGAAATGGTTGGATTTTTTATGTATTTCAATGTGATTTTTAGTATGCCCCTTATGTACTACTTAAATTTACATCTTCTCTTTTATTATGGTTAACGTTGTTCAATAGATCTATCTGCATGCATTAATAACCAAGAGTATAGTAAATTTAGCTCAACTATGAGAAAAATGTGAATTGGGCTATTTATGCAGTAGATATAAAAATATGCAAACTAAAAGTCTGAAGTGTTTTTACCATTTAGTTTTAAATAAGAAAAAAAGTATTAACTATTTTTTTTTATAAAAGAAAGTTTATTATTAATCTTTTTGTTTAGGTTGGCCTGATCAAGGGAGATTCTCCTTAGATTTTTTTTTTTATAATAATGTTTAAGGAATCAGGAGCTAGCTGAAGATGTAGCTAACTACACAGCTTTCAGTTTATATGAACAGCATAAATTTAAATTATATCACTTTTCATCAAAAATATTTTATAATTTGTTTTGAAATATAGTTTAAAATAATTACATCTAAAAATATAAGAAATATATAAACATAATTGTTGCATTATTTTTAAATATTTTGTTTAAAAAAATTAATTAGGATATATTTAATTAACATGCATTTATTTTTAAGAAGCCATTAAAAATGCAACATCTCAGTATTCAGATTTTTTTTTTTAACTTTTTGGATTGTAAATTTAACAGGATTGTACTGCAGAGAGACCATATTATCTAGAAAATTATAAAATACCCAAATATGAAAAATAGTTATATTACAAAATTGTAAATTTCTTCTTCTTCTTCTTAATCAATTCCTCTTCTACCGCTAGATCAGTGTAGAGGATCCTGTTTATAGAGCTTGATCCATTTATCTCATTCCCACACCAGCTGACTGCGTCTATTCCAATTCATTCCTCTCCTATCGAAATCCTCCCTGACTGAACCTTCCCAGGTCTTTCTGGGCCTTCCTCTCGGCATTCTTCCTTCCACTTCTATTTCATATATAGTTTTGGCCATTCTTCCCTCCTGCATTCTTTTGACATGGCCAAACCAGCATAGCCTGTTTTCCTCAATAGTGTTTTCTGCTGGTTTTATTCCCAAATTGCTTCTTATTGTTGTATTCCTAATTTTGTCCCTCCTAGTTTTCCCCTCTATTCTCCTCAGAAATCGCTTTTCCAATGCTTGGATATTGTTTTTATGTTTTGAGGTTATAGTCCAGTATTCACTGCCGTAAGTCAGTGTGGGGACAAATGTATTTCTATACACCGTCTTCTTGACATTTTTTGAGACTTCTCTCTTTGCTAAGAAGCCTGTTTTTAGTAAATGGAAGCATTTGCTGGCCAGTTTTATTCTTTCTCTGATTTCACCATCTATCCAACCGTTCTCATTTAGGTGGGCTCCCAGATACTTCAAATTTTTGATGTGCTCCAGTTCCTCCCCTTTCAATCGAAGTATTCGATCTCCCCTCTCTTCTCCTCATCCTATCCTCATAATTTTTGTCTTGTGGTTGTTTATTTCCAGGTTGAACCATTCTAACTCTTCCTGTAGGATTCGGAGGTTGTATTGGAGGTTTCTTCCATTGTTCCCGAATACCACGATATCGTCGGCATATGCCAGAAGTGTGAGATGAACTGGTCGTAGCTCTCTGTGGTCCAACCTAAAAGGTCTCATTCTTTCCTTAGCTCTCTTCAGTGCCATGTTGAGCACTATTATAAACAATAAAGGGCTTAGACTACAGCCCTGCCTTATTCCTTGGGTGCTCTGAAACTCTCTAGAGGTATGGTTATTGGTTCTGACCAGGCTTATTCTATTTTTATATAGGCTAAGAATGGCCCTCGCTAGGCCTGGATTGACTTCATGCTCATTCAGTGCTCTGTCTATGTCCGTTTTTCTGACCTTATCGAATGCTTGGATTAGGTCCACAAAGCAGGTATATACCTCTTTATTCTTTTCCACGAGCTTTTCCGAGAGCTGCCTCATTACGAATATTAGGTCTTGGGTAATTCTTTGTGGTCTGAAGCTGTATTGTTCTTGTAAAATTGTAAATTTATAAATTATAAAGTTATTTTTTATTATTATATTATATCAAGAAAATGTATTGAAATCACTGCTCTTAATGTAAATATATATTGTATATTTTAACTAACTTTAAATATAATAAAAAAAAAAAATTACAATTTCTAAATGTTTATAACCAATATTGAGTGAAATGTTTGGAAAAAATTTGTTCTCATTTTCGTTGTACTCACTAATCAATGTAAATCAAATAAAATTCTTATCAATTAATGAATAACTTCAATTAGTGCTTTATTCTTGTATCTCTAAAAAATTAAAAATTAAATAATCCAAAAAATTCTTACTCTGAGACTTGATGTTACAGCTGTAACATCAAGCTTCAGTTTAAATAAGTCAATACATAGGTCAATAGAATTATATAATTAATGTATATAATTTAATAGGTCATTTAAATAAAAATATGCTGTCTTTCTGTATATTTTATATTCTTCCGAGACTAGTTGCAGTCATTAGGCCTTCATCAGCCGAAACTGACTAGTATGGTCCTCCATTGAGGAGATCTCATGACCAAAACTGGCCGCTGAAAAAAAAACTGTACAGGAAGACAATTTAATTTATTCAAATAATATAAAAATATATTTATCTCTGATTACTTTTAGAACATTAAAAATACTAAACACAAGCCTAGGGCGGAAGAATAAGAATTTGTATGCAAGAAAAAAAACTCTACTCGCAACTGTTCTTTGGTTGTAAATTTAAATTAAAACAAAAAAGCTTATGTTTTATAACAAACTTAAACAATAAAAAAAAATTCAAATTTCGTTGAAGAGGTGGTTAGAAACTAAAAACTAACTTATGAAATTAAGAATGTTACAACAATAAAAATTGAAGATCTCAATTTGCAGTCAGATCTGTATATAAATCAAACTAGCTAAACATCACAATTTGTTCTATGAATGAAGCTGACTTACCTCCATAAATGTATTATTTTACCGAAGATATAAAATAAAGAGAAGAAGAATACATTCTATTAAAACAATAAAACTAAATAAGTAATCAGCTTTATAACCCTTTGTTAAATATAGAGGCAAAAACATTCTGGTAAAATGCTGATTGATTCCAAAAAGCTCATTACATAGAGGTAATGGTTATCAAAATCATAAAGCAAAAAAAAAATGGAATTGTTTAGATTAAATATTATCTTGAATATCAACCAGTTCAAAAAAAAAAATAAATTATATTAAGAGCCTACTGAGCAAAGGATAGTTTTATTTAAGTGTTTATAAGAAAAATTTGACTGTTTTATTAATTTTATAGAGGAGTGGAGGGGGACATTAAAAAGTAAATAATAAATGCTATGCAATGCCAGTAACTTGTGAAAAAACTACCTGGTCATACTGCTACAATAATTCTATTTTATAAGGGTCAGGCTACTCCAAGAATTATCTGGATCAAATTGGAAGTAAGGTTAGAAATAGAGGATTTGTAGTTATATGGTAGATAATGAAAGGAGAAGTATATAAGCCTAAATCAGCAGCATAAATTATTCAATTTAAGCAGGCAATAAATGTATTTATATTCTGTCTTATAATAGATTGAAAATTATGCGCTGCTCATTACAATCTAATATATAAGGGCAGTGTAGCTAGAAAATAATTTTTTTTTCTCAAATTCATGTAATATTTGAAGAGTGATGGGGATAAAAGAAAAAGATATTGCTGGGAGAATTGAATTATCACTAAGAATAAATTTGTTCAATTTTTAATATTTCCTTCTTTCCAAAAAAAAAAAAAAAAAAAAAGATATATTATTTCAACTTTTTGATTTTTTTCTTTCCTGGGACCTTGAATTTATCTTAATACACTAATTATAAAAATATTCTTCTAATTTATAAAATATGAGGTTAAAAAATACTGCTTTTTCAAAAATTTACCATCTAATATATTTGAAAATTAATTTCAATTGAATCACAAAAACGATTTCACAAAAGTTTTTATTATCAAATAGATTACATATCAATAAAAAAATAGTGGGGGGGGGAGGAAATGTTAGGTCATGAAAAGTTATCACGAGCTATGTAACTCATTATCTTGCAAAAGAAAATTCATTAACCAGAAGACTGCACACGAAGACTGTATGTACTTTTTTCATGCATTAATATTACTATTTTGCCAATTTATCCAAAGTGCAATTGCATATTATATCAGAACATATGTTAGCTCAATCGGAGTTTACCCTCGGAATGAAATATATCAAGCTGAAAATTGGCTTGAATTTTTTTTTTTTTTTTTTTGTCTTTACTTTCCAAACATTTCACTAAAAAGTCTCATTCATGGTTTCAAAAGATCTAATTTTCATAAATTCTTCAAAGGTGCTTCATTTGCATCTGATGGTCTGTCTATCTGTTGTGAAGCCTCTCTCATCTCCTTAGATTTCGGAGACTAAAGATATTTGTATATGAAATGTATAGTTACGGAGATTATTGTGATCGTGAAAATTTACAAATCTTAGTTTTCGACAATACAAGTTTTGATTTCCTCTGAGTCCAAATAACCAAGTTTCACAGAATGGTCTGTGTGTGTGTGTGTGTGTGTGTGTGTGTGTGTGTGTGTGTGTGTGTGTGTGTGTGTGTGTGTGTGTGTGTGTGTGTGTGTGTGTGTGTGTGTGTGTGTGTGTGTGTGTGTGTGTGTGTGTGTGTGTGTGTGTGTGTGTGTGTGTGTGTGTGTGTGTGTGTGTGTGTGTGTGTGTGTGTGTGTGTGTGTGTGTGTGTGTGTGTGTGTGTGTGTGTGTGTGTGTGTGTGTGTGTGTGTGTGTGTGTGTGTGTGTGTGTGTGTGTGTGTGTGTGTGTGTGTGTGTGTGTGTGTGTGTGTGTGTGTGTGTGTGTGTGTGTGTGTGTGTGTGTGTGTGTGTGTGTGTGTGTGTGTGTGTGTGTGTGTGTGTGTGTGTGTGTGTGTGTGTGTGTGTGTGTGTGTGTGTGTGTGTGTGTGTGTGTGTGTGTGTGTGTGTGTGTGTGTGTGTGTGTGTGTGTGTGTGTGTGTGTGTGTGTGTGTGTGTGTGTGTGTGTGTGTGTGTGTGTGTGTGTGTGTGTGTGTGTGTGTGTGCGCTAGAACAGTCTAGCTCAAAACAAAAAGTCGTTAATAAATTCTAGCGCTGGTATTATGTAATTGCATAGATAACAGCAAAATAAAAATTAAAACTAAAATAGGTAACTTAGTAATCTTTCTAATAATCATGAATACAATCAAGAAAGAAATGCATATTTTTTTTTTAATTATTCGCAAACAATTTCTTTTCCTTCATATTTTTTTTTCCTTCGGGTGAAGTGACTGTTTTTTTCCAACTGAAGGAGAACAAGATCTTTGCGGGCTCAATCGTTATATCTGATGAAGAATTGACGAAGTTTGCGTTGCAAAAAAAACATCTTTGAGAAATAATATATTAAGAATAAATGGGTATGGTAATTAATTGTTTTAAATAATATGCTGAACCGTCTCTGAATTTTACATTCACACCCCAATGTCTGAAAATACCTATTTATACTAAAAGTAAAGTGGTAAGTGAAAGTTGTGTATTGTGCACACCGTACCATATTTTCATTTAATATATATTAACTGCTAAATGCTTTCAACATTTTTATCGGGTTAGAAATGAAATAACACAATGATTAGAAAAAAAAAATCTGTTGTACCCAACACACAACTTTCACCTACTGCTCAACTTTGAATAGAAATTATTTTCTGGCTACGTTGGGTTATTAAACAATTTTTTAATTGCAATTTTAACTGAACTTAAGCTTAAAGCTAACAGCTAACAAACCATAAATACCATTAAAATAACAGAAATTCTATTTATTATATTACTGGATGATTATGGATTGTACTCCGTTGATTATGGATTGTAGGACTATTAGTTATTAAACTGTTATTTTCCATTCCAAAGTTTACTAAAATGGAATTACAGGATTTACATTGTCTGTCATGGACAGGACAAAAGTTGTCACACTAATTGTAAGTGGATACTGTTGGGATACAACAAAGAGAAAATTCATCAAATTATTCACTAATTTAATTTTCTAAAAGGTTACATGATGATTTTTCGGAATAAACGGATGATAGATACCTAATTATTTAAATATAATATCAGACCTAGAGTTATTAAACTACAGTAAATATAGTTAAAGTTATAAACATATCCTTAAAATATTTCACTTCTTCTTCAAAATAGTATCTTGAGCAATGTCATTGCCTTGATTCCATAGATTTAAAATTTTTTTTTCAAAATTAAAAAAAAAATTAAAGTTTAGATTTAGTAAGAATATTTTTTTTAAATTTCCTTGAAGGTTGGTGTTAAATAACGATAAAGGTTAATATGCCTTTGTCTTTCATAAAAAGTGTTAATTTTGTATAAATACTCAATTTTTTGTGTAGCAAAAGTGTTTTTTGAAGACATCAGAGCTGAAGACAAAAAACAAAACAAATGTTGAGCGAATTTTACTGCCAACGATGGTGGAACCGTCACGACATGAGGAGGTAAGCAATATGTGCTTAACAACTCGTGATACAGTGACCATTGGCTCTTGGGAGCTGGTTATTGGTCGTAAAAGATCTGTGTCAGATTCGAGCGAGTCAAGAGCACAAAAACGACCAACAACCTATTCCAACCTCTAACAGTTTTGAGATTATAACCAACATTAACTCGCACACAGAGTAATAAGAAAACCGCCTCAAAATGATGAAACTCTACCAATTTTTATAAACGATGTTGAGAATTATCATGCTTTAATTTCATTATTAGAAAATGAAGCTGGTCCTAATACATTCAAGACGAAATCAATATTAAAAGGGTCAGTGTTTACCCACAAATCTTACTCTGACATATATCGCAAATTGAATTCAAGCCTACGAAATAAAGGTGCCCACTTTCACACCTACCAACTCCCACAGGACAGGTGCCCAAGAGTTGATATTAAATATCTCTACCATGGAACACAAGTCGAGATCATCAGAGAAGAATTTAAAAATAAGGGCTATGAAGTAACAAATGAAGTAAATGTAATATCTCGATTTAAAAAAAACCTTCCTATGTTCATCGTATACTTAACAAAAGAGACATTCAGAGAAGATATTTTTAAAATTGAATTTTTGTATTACTCTCACATTAAAATCGAGGAACCGCTACAAAAGCGAAGTATTCCTCAATGTGTTTGGTGTCAGCAACATGGGCACACTAAAACATATTGCAATCATCGACGTTTGGAGCGCGACGAATATCACGAAAGCAGCTCATATTTAAAAACCAGAGAGTCTCGCTAAATGCGTCAATTTTAGTCTCCATTGAATTATACTGTGAAGGAAATTTTCAGCATTTCATCCTCTTTCTAATGAGCTATTATCCGAAATTGTATCTTAACACGATACCGTGTTGGAGGCAAATAGGGAAAAAATAGTATTGAAAATAAAATGAAATGAGTTTTATTAAATTTTATTACCAACTTGGGAGGGTGCCCGCTACTTGTTAGGAATTGTTAGGAAATTTATTTTTATTTTATTAAATAATACTATTTGTATAATTTAGTATTTATTTGACCGCACTCCCCCCCCCCTCCGATTAACTCCTTCTTATATTATATCACGGTCAACCATCTCTGCATCATTATGAAATGAGTTATGTTAAATATATGGATTATAATATTCCATAAACTAAAAATCGAATCTGCATACTGTAAGCGATAGAAATTTTCAGCATTTCATCCTTTTTTAATGAGCTATAAATCAAAATTGTATTTTGACGTGAGGCTGAGTTAGATAATCGAAAAGGGAAAGAGCCATTTGTGCCAAAATACCATTTCTCCGGCACCGGAAATCGAATTCGTAACATCGAGGTTATCAGGGTGCCAGACAACGCGTGTATCGCGAACTCCCAAAGACCTGGCTTGGCTACAGCGCCCTAAATCTTGTTTCGATCTATTATCAGGCAGCATATCAGTGCCGGCCCTACAGCAGGGCAACCCGAGCATGCAGCCGGAGGCACCAACTTGAGGGGGTGCCCGCTACTTGTTAGGAATTCCAGACCATCGGAAAACAAAGATCGGTTTTAGGAAAGATGGACCAAGATAGGAAGATTGTGATAAATAGATGGTTGTGTATGGGGAGGGGGGGGGGAGAGTGTGTCGCCGAGTTCACAGCACCGCGTTACTCGGCAACCAGATGGAAGATAATTTGATAAAATAATTGAGTTCGCATCCCAGTGCCCTGGGTGGGACTTTTAACTCTGATATTAATCCTCGCCCTCATCCCCTGGCCATGGAACAGTCCGTATAGCCTAAAAGGCGAGGAAGGAAGGAGGGACATAAAAAATATTTTAAAAAATAAAAAAGATGATTTTTTATGCATTAATAACTGAAGCAACAAAACTTGTTTAGTAAGACCATACATTGCTTTTGTCTAATCATAACCCATATCATTTTCAGGAATTTCCCACTAGAGATCAGTGATGGTTTGTAGAAGGTTTATCCTTAACATTTTGGTGAGCTTGATTTTTTTTCAAACAACTGTAAATGGCTGTTGTAACAGTAACTGTGAAACTGAGAAAAAAGAATGCAAATGTGTACAGTTTTACCTGTGCAAAAACGATACAAACGGAGATAAATTTATTATTGAAGACGGAAGCTCAGTTCTAGAAGCCAGGTTTCCTTTCTTCAATTTTTTAATGCTTTAATGATAAGTTTTATTAACTATATGTGTATACATTAATTTGATCTAATTTTGAAAATAATGCTTTACCAGTAACGGAGGCAGGATCGTTGCAACAACTACGTTTTCTTGAGAGGTAGCAAAATATAAAATTTCCCAATAATACCTTCAACAATTGGAACAAAATTTTATTAGTACAAAAAACATTTCTCAAAAACTTTAGTTTAAAAAAAGATGATGAATTTATTTGCCAAAGAAAATTTTATTTTTCCTGATTATTTTCAGTGCCCATTTTGCACCCTTTGGGGTTTTTAAGATGCAGCCTAAGCTACAGGTCATATCTCATTTTAAAATATATTTTCCTTAAAATGGCGGGCTTAATTGGTTAAAATATCAGATAATTATTGACTAAAATTATTTAAAATAATGTTGGAAATACTTGCAGGACAGGAGGACTATGTAGTGGCGATGAGGTTCCTTGTTGTAAGCTTAAGGCTCGTACTCCTTGTCCATTATGTCAGGCACAATGTGGCAAGCGAAAACCTGCCTTCATAGATGCCAGAATAACTGGAAGCACTACAAACTTCGGGGAGTTCCCATGGATGGTATTGTTTATTTTTAAAATAATTATTGTTGTTCTAATAATCACTGCAATATTAATTCAGTAAGAAAGTTATCACACTCGAAGGCTAGAGCTTATCCCTCCCCCTCCCTTTTCTCCTCCCCCTCACCCCTTTGCCGCGAATTTAATTTGGGATCGGTCACCAGGATTGGTAGCAGGACAAGCGGGCAGGTCTGCTCCCACTTTGATCCAAATTCTTGAGCCAAAGGGAGGCAAAATTCTGTCTATTAATATGATTGAGACATTAATTAATAGCTGCCTGCAACTGGATCTCGATTTTATCAATGAAACAGCACCTTTACGACAGAAACCATGCTTTATATTTTTAAACTAGATTAAATATTCCACAATTTAAAACCACAACAGGCTCGTTAAAAGTTCATTTATTTACGAGATATAGGTTTTCAGTATTTTCAAGTTAAGGTATCTTTCATATTTGATCATATGCAACTGTCTTTAATTAGTCATTTTACATTCAGTAATCTGTCTGATATGAGTCAGTGAAGTAAACATTTATTAATTTTAACGTTTTGAAGAAGGGGTGATGGAGAGGGAAAAGTTTTGGTGGGAGAGGATAGTCCTTGGGCCAGATCTCCCCTTTCTTCCCCAAATCATTATAAATTCTGTAACGTTTTGCTCCTTGAACTATATATTAAAAAAAACAACCAGATTATTGAAGATATTAAGACAATTGCGTATGATCAAATATGAAAAATAGCTTACAATTTTCAAGTTTGAAAAATTTCCAAACTTTTGAAAACCTGTATCTCAAATACTATTAAAATTATAGAACTTGTTTTGGTCTTAAATTGTAGTGTATTTAATCTATTTTAAAATATATATGGTGGGTTTTTGTCGTAAACGTGCTGCTTAATGGATAAAATCGGGAAGAACTGAAAATGTTCCAGTTTTTGGGATTTTCAAAAGTGATCCAGTGGGGGGGAGGGAGGCTCGGATGTCTAAAATTTGGTTTTTACATCTCAGTCAAGAAAAAAAAAAAAAACCTTCTATCCCCATTTAACGTAACTTAGACTTCCCTTTTCATTACAAGGTTACTGGACTATAAAACACAAATATTGTATTAATATTAAACTATAAACTAAGATCGTGGTATTCAGCTAGAAGTCTGTAAAAAAAAAAATTATGATTTATTATATTTTATTCATTTGTCAATCGATACAAAAATAGAACAATTAGTCCTACTTGTACTAGCAACCTCCATGTATCACCAATATTTTCATGGGTATTTTTGGTGTTTATAATCACCAATAAATATATCGTGGGCTTGGTTTGAAAAGTCACAACAAAGATGAAATTGCATGAATATGATGTTGCAAATGAATTTTAGTGACATCAGTTTAAAAATAAAGAAACTACTATTAGTGTGACATAGTCCTAACTACGGATAAGTTTTGGAAGTAATTGGTTAAAGAAAGTTGTAACTGCAATACGCTTGCATATACAGATTTTAAGTAAGTATGACGACAAGAAACCGCTCGACGTTTCCGGCTACTCCAACACTTACTAGACAAACGCTCTAAGCTTCCAGTTAATTACAAAAGACTTATATACATGACTACAATAAGACCTATTTGGACTTACGGAGTTGAGCTTTGGGGCTCCACTAAGCCATCGAATTCCTCTCGTATCCAATCCTTACAATCCAAAATCCTTCGGAAAATCCTTAATGCTCCTTACTTTGTCACCAATAAAATAATCCATAATGACCTTAATGTTCCTTATGTTGCCGATTTGGCCAATCCAGATACCAATCCTTCCATAATAAACTTCAGAACCATCCGAATCCTCTCGTCTCTAACCTTGCTTCCTCTTCTATTCCTGATAACCCTCCGAGGTGTTTGAAAAGAAGATGGCCTCTTATTGTAAATACATTTTGTTTTTAGAGTGCTACCAGTGGATAGTTTCTCAACAAGTCATTTCATGTTATTATTTTCTGTTATCAAATTTACTTAATGTATTTAATAATTTTAATACAGTTGTAAATATCATGAATAAATAAAAAAATAAAAAAAAGTAAGTATGAGATTTCTTTGAACATTTTTAGCAATCAGAGCATTCCATATTTCTTGCAGCACGACCGAGTCGAAGGCATCCTTAAGGCCCGGGAATGTTTGGTACGTACTCCTGTCTCTCTGGTCCTAGGTCTGCCTTCCAGGGCAGAAACTTTCCTGTTCCTCTTCCAGCTGCTCCTTCATAATACGGCGTGACATTTTTTCCAGATTGTATATGTGTGTTTTATAGGCCATGGACAAGAGACTAATTCATACACTCTGTTTGAATGTATTTTATGAGCATTGTAATAATCTCGTCGTAATCCCTATCGTTGTTTTTTTTTTCAATAAAAAGGCCTTTTTTAATTTAAAGAAATAAAGAAGGTGAAAAGAACCAATCGATTTACCACAATAATTGAATCGTTGTGAATCGATTCAGATAAAAAATCGAATTTCCCATCTCTAGTTATATTATCCATAGCAGAAAGATTTGGACCTTTCTGCCCACTCTCAAATCTAAATCCATATTTAATGAGACAATTAGTACACACAAGGCAGTTGCTAGTGGGGCTTAGGCACTTGGGGCGAAATGTTTCCGGGCGCCTCCTCCGCTCAAGCTCCATCTTAAATCGGTCAATAAACTATTGCCCCGTGTTAACTCCTGACGAATTCTACATCAAAGCGAAAAGCGTACCCTTTAAGAAATTAAATGGCGTTGCATCGTGCGTCGAACGAATACCTAAACTTAATAATATGGTGAAGTAATATGGTAGAAAACCACAATTAACGAACGCAGATTTTTACCAAATTTGTCAAAAATTAAGACAAATTACTATAAAAGATACTCTAGCTTGGAAATGAGTTCCCTAAGAGGAAAAGACATAGAATCAAACTTTAGAACATCAAATTTTGTGTCCACTGAGTACCAACAATTTTAATGAAGGCCAGTGCCGGGCTTAGAGGAGGACAACTGTGGCAAAAGCCCCGGTACGCCGAGGCACAGTGGTCAAACTTTTGTGCCCAGTAAGTGGCCTACATTAAAAATATTTTTACTTACTGGTTAATCAGTGGAGGCAAAGTTTTATGCTCTACAACTTAGATTTTTCATCTTAGATAACTCATTTCATAGCTACAGGAGCATTTATAGTAATTTGTCTCAGTTTTTGGCAAATTTGGTAAAATTCTACGTTCGTTGACTATGGTTTACTACTATACCGCTTAACCATATTATTAAGTTTAGGTACTCATTAGACCCACAATTTAACGCTCTTTATTTTCTAAAGAAGGATATTTTTCGTTTTGATGAGTTATAGGTGAAAAAACAAATATTTATTGAAAAAATGTGTCTTTTTTGGTGGGTGGCCCGATTTAGTAAATTTGTTTTTTATATTTTTGAACAAATATGAAAATCACATATTCCTCCATTGCCAATTTCAAGCCATCGGGAGGGTGAGGTGATTTAGGGTGTAATAAGTGACCTAAATTAAAGCTATCGGTACTCAGTGGACGCGGATTTTGTTGCTCTACAACTTTCATTCTATGAATTTTTTTCTCTTAGGAAACTCATTCCCTAACTGCAGGGCCAGTTATAGTTATGTTTCCCAGTTTTCGACCAAAATCAGCATTCATTGACCGTGGTTTTAGACCACATCACTTAACCAACATATTAAGTGTAGGTACTCGTTGTTTAATTTCTTAAAGAGCACGCTTCGATTCTTTTCACTGAATCGATTTGCAACGATTATTCTCGTGAGTCGATTTTTTTTTATTGAAAAAAAGTAATAAAAAAAACAATAACAAACATTTTGGTTATTTAGACAAAAACGTCTTTTTTATTTTTTTAATTAATTGAATTCTAAAGTTCTAATTAAAAATTAAAAGGTTTAAATGTATACAAATAAAAAGTTATAACTCTAATAAATGGAAAGATGGTTTAAATTTTACAGTACTTTTTTATTTTATTATTTTACATACCAGATGTTGTCTGTGTACACAAATTGTGAATGAATTGAAAAATGTTTTATTATTCTAGGACAGTTGTCCCTTTAAAACAAATTATAATTTAAAAATATATAAAATAATACGGTATTAAGGTGATTTGCAGAGATCAGGCTCAACCACCAGGTCTTTCCCCTTAAGTAATTATTTTTAATTAAGGGTACTTTATAGAGGCTGAGTGTGCCCAGGAGAATCTATCTACACAGGGTCGCCCCACAGCGAATAAAATGGAATAAATATTTTTTCGGCCATGAGCCGGGATTCGAACATGGGACATTTGGGTTCTTCCAGACTTGGGAGCATTGGAAGCCCAATACCCTACCACTCAGCTACCCAACTCTCTACGGTATTGCCATTCATTAAAATAAATATTTACAAAATAGCTAATTGAAAATAAAAGTACTTGAGTGACAAAAACCTGTATACATGTATAAATATAATAGAGAAGAAAAGTCATAGTAATATAAACAAGCATAGCTTATCAATGTCTAGTGTGAAATGATCATGGAGGAGCAGATTCCGGAATTAAACAAAACAACCCAGCAAACAACGGAACAATACCGGAAGATTTCCTATAAAAAACTTGGCATGGACTGATAGAGCATTCAAGAAATTCAATGATAACCAAAATTCCAAATCCAAAAGAATCGTAATTCTTTCGAGTGAATCACTTGAGAGTACGATTCTTTCAAAGGAATGAACTTTTGGATTTATTCTCGATTCACCTACCCATCCCTAAGGAAAACAGATTGGTGTTTAAAAGGTGGCTTATGTTTCTGAAATCATACCCATTTTAAGAAAATAATGAACGGATTAAAAAAGGTGTTATTTATAATAAACTTATTTAAAGAAAACTGTACCTTTTTTTAATGCATATAATTTTTTATCCACAGATTGCCTTATTCAGGATGGTTGTAAACAATACATATTGCGAGGAACCGAAATACTTATCTGGTGGAGCACTAATTCATAGAAATATAGTTTTAACTACAGCACATTCCGTCATAAGGTGGAGTATTAATTTTTTTTAATAACTAGGACTCTGAGCATGTTTTGCATTAATATTGTGACTATAAAGCGTATTTTCGTAAAGTAAAAATCTGGTGCACTCATCACATAACTTTCTCTTACAGCTCGACTTTGAACAGAAATTCTTGGCAAAATTGTTTTATTACAACAAGTTTTCAAAGGACATTTTCAATGGAGCCAATCCTTAAAGAAAATATTTGTGAATTTTTGTCTCATTTGTCAATGTTAAAACTCCTTAGAGATAATAGAATACTCAACAATTAGAGGTAGTTAATTATTCAAAATTAACCAAATTAAAGGTACTTTAGAGGAAGACATTTTGAACATTGGGTATTTAAGCCCTGTTAAGCGACATCAATAGGGATAAATGATATTAATGACCACTTAATTAAAAAGTGATACATCGAGTTTAATCAAATTCGGTAAAGCCATTTTCGAAAAAAATGTGAAAATGTGTAAAATAGAAGATATAAAGTGGCACTTCCGGTTAGCCGATTTTAACAAAAACGTAGTCACATCCGAGCCATATACAAATCTCAAATCCGCAATTTCAGTTTCGTACGACTTTACATGTTTGAGCTAGACTGTTCACACACACACACACACACCATTTCGCGGGACTTGGTTATTTCGACTCCGGGGAACTCAAAATATGAATTTCCCTTGAAAACTTAGATTCGAAACTTTTCACGATCGCAATACCTTCCCTTACTCTATATTTCATATATAGGTAAGTGAAATTAAAAAATTGTATATCCACCAGTTTAATTGACGTCAATATAATTTATATCTATGTAGCGGTCAATATATTGACGGAATTCGATTTTGACTCAATAATATAATGATATTAACCGTCTAAGAGACCCTTTAGTTGACAAGTTATTTAACGTTGCTCAGATGCCGAAATTTCATTTTTATATTTTATATATTATATTTTATTTATCTTTGAAGTGTTACCAATGGGTAGCTTCTTCACAAGTACTTTCATGTAATATATTCCTATAGCAAATTTACTGGTTGTATATATGTTTACAGTTGTAAATTTCAATTTTAATTTCAAAATAATTTTTGAAAAATATAATATATTTTAAATTAGTAAAAGTATTGTCAATGATAATGTTTATATAATTTAGTGTGAAAAACAATGCCTCGCTCGGACTGATAGCTCGGGCCGGTGCATGGGACCTTCAGAACGTGAATGAAGCGGAAAAACTTCAAAATCGAGTAGTGGCTGAAATCATAATTCATCCGAGGTTCAACCCAGCCAACTTATGGAATGACTTTGCCATACTTAGGCTTGATAATCCATTTATATTAGCAGATCACATCAGTACTATATGTCTTCCACCTCCTGGAAAAATTATCAGCCGTGGAAACTGCGTTGTGACCGGTTGGGGGAAAGAAAAGTACGGTAAGCTAACTAAATCAATTTTTTTTTTACATATTTTTCTTCAATATTAACCTTATGAGATTTATAAATTTTCAAGATTTCCAGATTCCAGATAGTCAAAAGACATAACTATCTCAATTGTAATATTTTAATGTCTCAGTAGCGAATCCAGGGCTGTTTTTTTTTTAACGGTAATCACTCTGGTTTTAAAGGTGAAACACGAAATTAAATGAACAATAAACTTTTTAGAAATAAATTTCTTATATTTTTCTTGACACTCCCTTACATTTAGTATCTGTATATACTTAATAATAGGCAGTGGTATGGCACTAATCCTTCAATGCTCAAGGTCCCAGGTCCGATTCCCGGCACGTGGCTGAAAAATTATTTATTCTGTTTCATTGGCCGTCGGGCGATCCTGGGGTAGGGAGACCCTCCTGGGGCACACCCAGCCTCTATAAAGTGGGTAACCTTAATTAAATAATTAATTAAGGGGGTCCTTTCAATCCAAAGTCCTCCGAACAATACTGGATGCTCCGTTATATGTAACCAACAAAACCCTACACCATGACCTTAATAACCCATTTGTCCTTGACCTTATCCCTGAAAATTTTTCAAAATTCCATCAGAACCTTATCAATCATCCAAATCCCCTAGCCCAATCCCTATCTAGTTCCACTCATCCCTACAACGCTCCTCGAAGATTGCAGCGGCAGTGGTCCAGAGATCTTTTATAGTATTTATTTTGGAGTTCTGGCAATGGCCAGATTCTCCACTCAAGACATGGGTGTATGTGGCTAAGCGCTCTAGCTCAAACTCCACCGGCTTTAACACCGGTGAGGCGGTTGAGAGAGTACCACAGGGATTTGGGTTCCCCGCCTGATAGTATATATTGTATGTAGGTATGACTGTATATAGGTATGTTGTATATACCTAGTATATGTATATATATATATATATATGTTGTATATAGGTATGTACCTATATTGTATATAGGTATGTTTTTAATTTACTAATATTTAGGTTATTTTATTTTATTTTTTTATTGTATATAGTTTTTATTTATTATTGTTTGGTTATTATTTTACTTTTGTTAATTTTGTTTCTTTTTGTATATACGGTGTGAATGTGTTCATTTATCAATATAATTATTGTTCCTGTGACAGAATATTATATGTCAAAATAAATAAATAAAGTCCAAAAAAAAAAAATTAAGGGGGAAAACCTTGTTGAATTGAGCGTGATCCGTTGGCCTTAAAACAGTACTTTTCCTAAATAGTACTGAACCCAAGACAACATACATGGGTTGTAGTGGTACAGGTTTTTTTATTTTTTTTTTATTTTATTATATTTTTTTTCGTAATTCAAAAACAGAATATATTGTGATTGTTTAAATATTTATTTATAATCCATACCGGTGTTAGTAATGTTGAATATTTGTAAATAATGTGATTCCATTGTGTTCTATTGTGTGATGTCAACATTTCTTATGAGAATGGCAGAGTCATTTGCATAGGTTGTAATTAATGTGTTAAGTTAATTTCGTATGTTATAATGTAATGGTATGTACAAAAAGGTGCAGGAATTGACCCTTGTGGTACTCCAGCACTTACGGGGCGTATAGAAGAGGTTTCCGATTCCTGTCCGACAGAGAAAAACCGATTTGAAAGGAAGGTTATAAGAAATGGTTTATGTTTGTTAAGCAGTCCATCGTGCCAGACTCAGTCGAATGCTTGATCAACATTCAGGAATACGCCAATCGCGTATAGTCTACCTTCCGCTGCAATTGAAAAGTGCGTTATTCTGTATAGTTGGTGTATGGTTAAATGTAATAAGCGGAATCCGAATTGGTGCTCAGGTATGCAATTTAGTAGTTTGTCAAAACGTTATGTATGCGTCTGTAAAATATTTGTTCATAAATTTTAGCATAAACCGGAAGTAGACTAATGGGTTTGTACGAAGAATTGCTATTGGAATATTTGTTCGGTTTTTGTATCATAAGCACTTGTAAAACCTTCCATTACAATTTAAATTTTTTTGGACGTCAAGATAATCTAGCATGAAATTTTCATGTTCACTGTCTGAGTATTCTGAGTATGTGGTGTAAAATAGATGGTCCGTCGGCAAAGTGTTCAGATTTTTCAATTTTTATGTCCGACACGACCCAAGAACCACGCTCTCGCGATGCTTTAGTATTTTTTTTAGTTTGTCTCCATAAGTTTCCATCGTCAGCACATAAATGTACCATAATTAATCTGTTTGAAAAATTTTATTTGTCATTTTAGTTCGTTATTTATTCGGTTATATGTCTGTTTATTTGATTGTTCGATCAACTCCCTCATGTACTTTAGGGAAGTTTGGCTGGTTATTTATTCGTTTGTGGTTGGGAATAGGACGAGGACTGTGCAGATTCCTTAATGTTTTTGTCAAGACTTCCAAAGCTTCTTCGTTTTCGTTTTTAGTTTTTAATGACAAAGAAACTGAAAAAAGTGTATTTAAATTAGCTTGATAACAGTCCCAATCAATATTTCCTTGAATAAGCATATAGCGTTCATCTTCTTGAGGACCAACTGTAGAAGGGAATGGTCAGAGTATAGATCGCAGCTAGATCTAACTGGGTAAGGCAAGGGCAATAGTTCTTATTTCATGAAAAAAGACAAGTAAGTCTGGTGTTTTATGTCTCAAGGTAGGCCAGTAAGTCAGAGTATTTGGTGATATGGTCTTTAAGGAAAGCTTATGAGGAGCAGACTTCGTCCTCTTCGTGAGCATAGTTGCGACCCTCCTAACTGACGTTAAGCATTGTAGTCGCCACCAGAGATGAAACATTTACCCAATTTTACAAATAACTACAAAACATGGCGGATGTCAGCTAATACCGAGGAGCACAATGTACGGCTGCTTATGTTATTACATGCAATGGCATTGGCATTGTTATGGCAGTGGCTTGAACATCTGGTATATTCGGCAAATGTATATGATAGTGTTTGAGTGATGTTTGTTGATAATGATGGCAGTTCAACCGTATGAAGTGTTGTCTGCGTGATCTGTCCTGTTAATTATGTAATATGAAATATTTACTTTGTTTCGTGAAGTGAGGTGTGTTTCAGTTACCAAAGTAACGTCAGTTCATTTTTCATTTACATATTCAGTTCGGTTATATTTTTAAGAATTCCTTTCGTATTTGACAGAAGGATGAACAAAGAACCCAAAGTTAAGGTTTCATGGAACTTAAACAAGACATTAGGCTTGTGTTACTTGAGAAACTTATTTTTTTGTCATCCTTGCCTTTTAGGTTATGCAGGATTGTCCAGGGTCAGGAGGTGAGAGCAGGGAAAGCCCCCGCCCCCGCCCCGGGACGCAAACTTGTAATTATTTATCTAATTATCTTTGATTCGGGTTACCTGGCAACGCGCGGTGCTGTGCATACGCATAAGCCCGCTCGGCCACTCCGCTCCCATTTTAACTGAGAAAGTTTTTGAATTAGGCTGAAAATGGGCTGAATAATACTTAATCCATTTAATAAATCATAATTTTGAGAAGGGGCATTTTCAGCAACATCCTGTCTCATAGCTGACATGTTTACAATTGGTTGACCTATCCCTCCTGTAGCAGACTAACAATGCGGGGCTCCCTGCTGTTGAAGTTCTAAGCTTCTTAAAGATCCGGTATCTCCTAGAGTTTGCTGGATAATCTCTTCAACAGTTGACACATTTAGAGGGAAATATCTTGTGATTTCTGACATGAGGAGCTTTCATGTTTTTGCCCACATTTAATACACGTGGTTGTATGATTACAGTAGGTCTAAGTGTGACCATACTGTTGGCATATATTGCATTTGGGTATCATACTCTTCATCCTCGGTTCTTCAAAAGTCACCCGAGTATAATAGGGAGGGAGGCAATGATTGGTTTCGATTACTGAATAATACCTACTGTTGATTTTTAAAATTATATTTTAGATATGTTTATATTTTGGATTAAAAATAAACAAGAATTTAAAAATAGTATGATATTTGGGTCTCTACTTGAACAAACGATTGACATGGCCACAGCACATAAAACAAAAATTTCTTGGCTACTTCACAGACTTTTTTTTTTATTTTGTTCTGTACTCCTTGATATCATATTTGCTTAATAAACTTTTAGATAGCAAATTTATCTCGAAAGAAATATGTGTATTTTTAAATAAATAAAGATATGTTTTCATTGTTAATCCTTGCGCTTAGTTAAACTTAGAACTGATGCTTATATTTGAACAGCGGATCCTAATTACAAGCCCTCAGTTCTGAAGAGCATCGACCTCCAGGTTGTAAGTAGAACTGATTGTACTTCACAATTCCGCCGAACAAGAGCTGGGCCGGACTTCATCTTGCATGAGAGCTTCATTTGCGCTGGAGGAATAGAAGGCGTTGACACATGTGCGGTAAGAAAATGTGTATATATATATAATCTTTAAACTTAATTGTTCTCTTTACTTCTTCCTTGTTTGTTAACTTATTTTTAAAATTATCCAGGATAATGTATAGTTAGGACTTTCATTCTAAATTTTGAATATTATTAATAAATAATTTATTTTTTTTATAATTAATAAAAACGTCTGCCAAATGAGGCCAGCATATCTTTCTCGTCATTATAACTGGTTCTAAACTAACCTATAACTCATGGGCAATCATTTTTCGTTAGTGAATAAAATCGTGAGAATGAAACAACATTCGTGAATTTGATATCCTATATTGATCATCAGCGAAAACCACAATGCTAAAGGCCTATGCATACTTAAAATTTATTGGACATCTAAATTAAGACGAAGATTAGTTATTGTTGAAGAGCATTCTCTTCAAAAAGCTAACTCCTTACTACTTTACAGTTTAGGATGGAAATGGAAACTACAAAAACCTGGTCGAAAATCAACTGAAACAAACAAGAAATAGACAACACGATACAATTTAACTTAAATTATATTCATATGTGTGTGTGGTTAAAAAAAAAAAAAATGTGCTCAATATCGAAAATTTCCACTCGCGTTTTACGTTTCAGACATCAAGAATCGAATTTGGTTCGGTGTCTGTCTGTTTGTCTGTAGTTGAATCGATGTGATGGCATATCACCTACTACCGTTTATCTGATTTTCATGAAACTTTCGATCGCAAATGTATTATCTTAGATATGCCAATATTTCAGAAAATGCTTGTTCGATTTGGCTCATAGTTGAAAGAAAGTTGGGTACTGGTAAAATAATAATGCTGTATTGATTTTATTGAATTCCATAGTGTACTTTCTGTGATATATCCGAAAATGTATTTTCCTTGATATTCATATATATCTAAAACCGCACATTCAATTTGCTCCAACTCTGAAATTATACCGATTAATTTATTTAATGTAAAATAATACCAGCGGATGTAAAATAATATCATATTGAACACCTTGTTATGTTTGAAAGTCTATCATAACCTTTCATGCTATTGGCGCTCGGGATACTTCGGTCCCACATAACCGTCCTTTATTTCTACTTTAGTCAGTTACGAAATTCTTTCATAGTTTTTATTTATCCATTTTTTATTACTAGTTAAAATGTGAAATGGTTAACTATTTCAAATAAACAAAATCAAAGGTCCCTTAGGGGAAGACATTTTGTCACTTAGGCCATATCATACTATTTCAATGAGAGTATTACCTACCAATATTAAAGACAAGTTTAATTTTAAACTAATATAATGGGTTAATGAGAAGAAAAAAATCGTTGGAGCCGTTTTTGAGGAAATTGTAAAAATGTGTAAAGTGCCATTTGCGGTTTGTTGATTTTGAATCGATTTCCAGTTTTTAACCTTGATTACATATGTTCAGTTTCTTAAGACGCTTTTGAGCTAGGCTATTCACACTCAAGTTATCTTATGAAACTTGGTTATTTAGACTTATGCAATACTTACCCATACTATATTTTTCATAAATAGTTAAGTGAAAATAATTTAAATTTATATTGAGAATCCTGACTATAATTAATCCTTTTTTTTATAACTAAAATGTTACCCATTTTCCATATATATGTAACTTTAGTTGCATCTTTACAATGTCTAAATATTTTGTTTGAATATACATGTTCTTTTTTCACAGGGAGATGGGGGAAGCCCATTAGTTTGCCCTATTGATTCATCTGGGAACTTTTACGAGTTAAGTGGTTTGGTATCATGGGGGATTGGATGTGGTAACGCGATCCCAGGAGTATATGCAAGTGTTGGATACGCACACGGATGGATTACATATACTATGCGTAATTTAAGATTGAATTCATGTTAACGAAAATGAATTGATAGCAATTAGAAAATATATAACTAATATATATTTCAGAAATGTTTTATTTAAATTTATGCTAATATAAATTTACTCAATAAAAGCTAAAATAAAGGTGGATTTCACAAATGTTTTTATAAAAATTAATTGTGACATTTTAAATGTAGAATAAATTAATTTAAATGTATTTACGATATAGTTAATTGCAACAATATCCTTTAGTCCTAAGGTCATCTCGACTTTCTAGAAATTTCATGCCTCATTGCTGAGACAATATATGTTATATATATTTCATATTTAAGCACATCATTAAAATTAAAAAAAAAAGTATTTTTAAAATTCTGGTAAATAAAATATCCCGTCTACTTTTAGGCACTAAAGCAAGATTTTCAAGAGAATTCTTCCAATGTATGATTCATTTTCAGATATGATAATAGAATAGAATAGAATAGAAAAATAATTTTACTGTGGGACGAAGTCCCTTCAGAATAACAAAAAAGTACAGAAATTAAAATTTTATATCTGGCCAGATAAAAACAAACATAAAAAGGTAAGATAAAGATAGATCATTAAAAAAAAGAAAAAAAAATATTGGCTATACATACTATATACAAAATAAAATAAAAAAATCTATATAAAAAACTCTTGAAACCATACTAAGATACTTAAGACTATGTACAATGTTAAAATATAAATAAACCCTTTTAGAAAAAATAAAAAATACAGAAAAAATAAATGTAAATTTTTCTTAACAGTAAAATCTGTATCTGTTGAAAAAAAAAAAAAAAAGAAAAAAAGAAAGTCGAATCTATAATAAGTATTTAGGTTATGAGCTATATTTGAAAATGTTCTTATAGATAATATGTAATTTTACATAAAAAGTTAGCTGGTGTCTGACTGTTTTTGGGACAGGAATTGGAATAGGAGGGTTTTGAATGAAGGTAAGGATGAAGAATGTCGAATTTTGATAGGAAGGGAATTCCAGAAACTAACAGAACGAGCAATAAAGGAGTTTTGGAACGAGGCAGATCTGTGAGAAGGAATGTAAAGGTCGGAAGGTCGAGATCTTGTGGAAAGGGAGTGGGCTGAGGACTTGAATTGGAGAAGGTTGTAGGCGTAGGAAGGACGATGATTGTTGATGATATGATAGAGGAATTTACCTAGGAAATATTGCCTTCGAATGGAGGGGAAGAGCCACTCTAACTCAATGTAGTGGTGAGAGACATGGTAGTATCTCGGGGCACCAATTACAAATTTCACGCAACTGTTCGTTAATCTTTTCAGTCTGTCGTGGAGCTCCACCGAGACTCCATCATACACCACACAGCAGTAGTCAAAGTGGGGGAAGATGAGAGAGGAAACGAGGAGTCTACGCGTATGTTGAGGTAGGAGATGGCGGAAGCGATGGAATAGTTTGAGGGTAGAAACTGTCCGTCGGGAGATGTGAGAAATATGGTGACTCCAGGAGAGGGTTTGACCAATAAATAGTCCTAAATTTTTTACAGAGGAGTAGAAGGAGATTGGCTGGTCACCAAGGTTTAGTATGGGAAAGTCGGTATAGGATCTAAGGAGGGGTTTGGAACCGATGACAATGGCCTGAGTTTTTGAAGCATTTAACCTTAATCCGTTTAAGTTTGCCCAGGCACAGATTCGATCTAGGTCTGCTTGGATCTTAGTAAATGCTACCAATAGCTCAGGGAGAGAAAAGGATAGGTATATTTGAGAATCGTCTGCATAAAGGTGGTGGGAACAATGGAGAATTGAGTCATGGAGTTCATTAATATAGGAACTAAAAAGGAGAGGAGATATGCTAGATCCTTGGGCAACTCCAGAGGATAAAGGCAGGTAGGCAGATAGTCGTTGATTAGGAATGGAGACTGCTTGGGTCCGTTGTGAGAAAAAAGATTGGGACCAAGAGATGGAGCTATTGGAGAAGGAGAGTGATTTTAGTTTGTTGAAAAGGATGGGATGGTTAATGGAATCGAAAGCTTTAGAGAAGTCAAGAAGTATAAGGACAGTTAGTTGTTTATTATCTATTGCAGTCTGAACATCATTAGTAATTTTGATTAAGGCGGATTGTGTGGAGTAGCCGGGGCGGAAACCAGATTGGAGAGGATCAAGTTGGTTAGACTTTTCGAGGAAATTGGAAACTTGGGATTGCACCAATCTTTCTAGAGGTTTTGAGGGATTGGAAAGAATTGAGATTGGGCGAAAGTCTTCGGGAGAGGATGGATTAGGCTTTTTATTTAAAGGGAGTACAATGGCTTTTTTCCAAGAGGAAGGGAATATTGAGTTCTGTAGGGAGAAATTGTAAATGAAAAGGAGAACTGGGAGGATTTCGGGGAGACATAATTTTATCAATTTGACAGGAATGCCATCTGGCCCTATGTAATTGGTGTGGGATTTCATTACTGCGGTTAGTAAGTCAGTCGGGGAAATGTTGGAGAAATAAAAGTCATCATCATTAAATGATGACTAAGGAGCCAAGTTGGAAGAGGAGGGAAGAGAAGAGGTAGAGGAGGCAGAAATAAAATGTGAATTTAAATCGTCAGGTGAAACGGAAAAGACCAGTGAGGAAGGGGATCTGGACGGTTCACAGAGGGAAAGTTTGCGAAGGATTAGCCATTTAGATTTGGGATCTGGGGCAGATGACAGGGCTTCATGGAAGTAGGAAGCTTTAGCTCGCCGAATTCTTGTTTGTGTCAAATTGCGGAGCACCCTAAACGCTTGATAGTCATTTGTAAGCCTGGTACGTCTAAAGCGTCTACGGGCAGCATCATGCCTCTTCTGCAGATCCTTGATTTCTTGACACATCCCAGGTGCAGGCCGGCGGCGAAAGGTTGAGGTTTTTATGGGAGCATGGGTGTTTAGGATATTGAGGAGATTGGAAGTCAGGATCTCAACCATGGAGTCGATGGAGGAGCAGGAATTATATTTCGTTCAAGTTATATTTAATTGTTTTTTCTCTATTAAGTTAGTCTGGAGCTGTTCTCATTTCTAACTGCAAATTTGATGTAATGTAAGATGGGGAACTTTAGGACTGAGTAGGTAACTTTGGGACAGCGGGTAAAATTTAGTTTACGTGATGATTTCTTTGTGAGTACACTGTGTTGGTTCAGTCTACAAAAACATGCTTTGTGAAGGCATGTACTGCGCCACTAATTTGCGGCAGTTTGAGAACCCTAGTTCACTACACTCGTTGTGCAGTTAGGTTTTATTTATTTCCATTGCTTTTTTCAAAATTGTTGTTTTTATGAAACTTCCGCTTGTGCCTCAAGAGTTGTGTGCCGCAAGGTAGAAGCGCAGTACATACGGTGGCCATGCTGACTGAACAAATATAATGTATCCACCTTGGAATCACCACAAATTAAATTTTATCCGCTGTCCCAAAGTTACCCACCTAGCCCCAAAGTTACCCCATCTTACGGTAATGAATTTTTTGAAATTCGATCTAGTATTCCATTATCTGTACAAGTTGTTCTATTTTTGTAGAAGATTTTATAAAAATGTGAAAGATATGCAATGGATTATGGTGTGTTATAGTCCATAGTACAAACCCCTTTCTATCAAATTACAGTGCTCTACATTGATATTGTAACGTATGTCACTTGAAAACAGCCTCAATCCACATTTTTTGGTGTGAGAAATTCGAATTTCCTTATAAACATCATCAGTTAGCTCTAGTTAAAATATCTAGTAACTTTTTGCATAATGTGGGGACGCTTCCTGCTCCTGGGTTGGCAGGATTGATTTCTGTCTTTGAATCGCAGGAAACGACTAGCTGTGAATCACAGAACCATTTTGCTGATAGTTGTATGCAATGTTTACATTTCAAGTTACTCTTGGCGTGATTTTTCTTGCTTCAGGCATTCTTTCAAAGATTTTGCCGTGATAACCTATTTGTTTTGATGAAGTTACAATGCCCAGGAAGTGTGTGAATGCTCCTGACAACTTTTGTTACATCTGTGAGAAAGTAACCTTTGCAAGTCAAAAACGTCCCATCACCCAGATGATCAAGATAGCATACCACAAGTATTTTTGGGTGAAGGTTGGAGACCACGATAAACCGCGGATCCCGCAAATCTGCTGCATCACATGTAGCGTAACCTTAAGAGAATGGTTGAACAAGAAAAGTCGTTCAATGCTTTTTGCTATCCCCATGGTGTGCAGGGAGCCTACTAATCACACTGACAACTGCTACTATATCACGATCTCTTCATCATGGAATGTTTCGATAAAATAAATCTGACGTGAAGTACCCTGGCATTCCTACTGCTTCACGACCAATACCACACCGGGACAAATTGCCTGTTCCAAGAAGGCCTTCTGAACAATATGACTTGAATGAGGACGGGGATAACGAAGAGGAAAATCCTCTCGGAGAAACCCCATCAGATGATTCTCATTTTTCTTTCGAACAAGAAGAACGAAAACCTCACTTGCTTACTCAAGCTGAACTCAGTGACTTGATTCGGAGCCTGAATCTGCCCAAAGAGAAAGCTTCTGCTCCATTGCTTTAATCTTGAACCCAAAAGTTCTCTTTTCGGTTCAAGATTGAACTATTTTATTTGTGAAAATTCTCGGAATTGGGGCGTTTCTGGATATCGGCAAACTTTGTCCTTTCATATTAAAATATTCATATTTTCTAAAGGCCGTTTGGCGTGACCTACTCCCCCTACATTTCAAAATAATGATATTATACAGGTCAACCGACATAATATTTTTGTAGGACAACTTTTTTCATGGTTTTGTGATCAAATTATCTTATGATCCCAGTGGAAAGCAAATTGGGATTTAAGAGTTATTAGTACTTAATCAAATAAGCAAAGTTTGCCGATCTCCAGATTGAAAACACCCCAATTCCTGGTGTTATCGTAAATAAAATAGTTGTAGGTTACGATGAGAAAAAGCTATTCACGAAGTTTCAGGCGGATGCTAACAATTTGATAAGAAGGAATCTGTACCACTCACTATTATGTCTACAACTGGCTGTCAGTTCCTCGGTAGTGAAAAGTATGTTTTCATATGTAGTACGACTGGACTAATTTTTTTTTTTCTCATCCTCCAGAGATTTTATTATAGAAATTACTATATATATATATATATATATATATATATATATATATATATATATATATATATATATATATATCCATTTCTGCTTTTCCCTTTTACTGCCGAAAGGGATCCCATATCCCGGTTTCATCAAATAATGATAGTGGCTATATAGGGCCAATTTGAATTCACAGTACTTTTGCTAAAACAAATTGCCTGTTTCTGCTAGCATTATTTTATTTATTTTTTTAATAATTGAAATTTTATCCTTTTTCCATATACAACAGGTACATTTAAGTTTATTTTGTTTCCGTCCTCATTATTGGAAGCTTTGTATTCGTGCGAGAGATTAAAACAAAATTGTAAATGTTAAGTTTTTATCCAGTAAGTTTATTGGTTTTATTTTTCATTTTTTACCTATCAATTTTCGAAAAATTTCCTGACTTTTTCGTTTGAAGACACCTTGAATGTAAAAATGATATCTTTGATAACCGTGTAAATAAAAAAATATGTAGAAAAAGAAATGCTGCTTCAGGAATGAGAAATATAATATTTATGTACTTGTATATATTAATGCATGCAAGTAAATCACTCATGGATGTGTGGTTGTGTTAATTCTGCTTGAGTGGGACCGGTTGAATTTATAGACGTTATAACGAATCAGATAAACTATGTTGACATTTAAGAAAAAAAAAACACACAATTAGTGACTACGAGTTTGGAGAAAAGGAAAATTCTATTTTCAGCAAGATAATGATATAACTTCATCTCAGTCACCAGACATCTTATAAGCATCAGCGAATATATAGCTGGAGTATCTAGAAGATAAAACACGTTGTATCTAATTTTCCTTAGTTCAAAAATAAATATTTCTTACAGAATGGACCTCACTATAACTAATGCCCAAGAGACAGATTGTTGTTATACTCTATAAATAAATAAATTTAAAAAAACAGAATGGAGAAACAAAAAACTATTGCGTCATTGACGCAAAAATTAGTTTAATTAATGCCGTAACCTCTTCAACATTTGACCCGCTAATATTAATTAAAAATTTATTATTATAAACTTAATAGAGTAAATTTAAAATTGTAACAATAAAGTGTAGGAATACTTTTGCCTCGTGTTGTATATTTATTATTTAGAAAAGTTATTTATGGGACGATGTTACACGGATGAGTTTTTAAAAATATATTTTTAATTAAAGTTTTATCTGAATATAAAATAATTTTAAATTATTTCTTGCCCATAATTTAAATATTTTTGAATTAATTTGTTTTAAATCTGATATAAGAATACTTTTGATTCATTTAGCGGACCTACGAGGTGCGCGTGCGCCTTCTTCTCCCTCTGAAAGGATAAAAAAAATATATTTTGAAAAAGTTACTGCATATCCGTCACTTTTATTGTTAGTATTTTAATTGAAAAGTCAATTGTATTAAATAATTAATTTGTATTTATACTTTCTAAGCAAAACCAACAAATAATCTGAATATTTACACAAAATACTCTTCACTTATTGGCGGAATACCTGAAGATTGTTGCTGAAAGTTGTTGCTGTGGAAACTATTTTTAATTGAATTTTTGGAAATAAAATATTAATAAAAGTCGTGTTTTAGGCCCGAAGACGCAGGGGTGAAAAGAAGGGGGTTTCATAGCGCACATTGCGCCATCAAAAAATTTGAGGGGCATATTTAAATGGGTTTTTGAATTTTCTTCCGCTGTCACAGTTACGGAGCAGCCACTGTGTCTGTGAATTGGAGATTTTATCTATTGTCAACCATCAAACTGTTAAAAACATATTTGAAGGGAATGAATAGACTACGAAAATGAATAAATAATAATCAAACACGGATACAATTTAAAAATACTAATTTCTATAATGTTAAATATATATTTTCTTTGGATATCGAGATTTTTAAAAAAAATCACATTATTGTTTTCATATTCACAAATATGATTTATGATACTTATATATGTTGGCGATTTATTGCAAATATACTAGGTGCATTTTTGATATAGGTTAACTTTCAAATATGCTTTTTGTGAATTTTGACTTTATCTTA